CTCTTGCTGGACACTCTTTGCTAGACATTCTTGCTGGACACTCTTGCGTGACACTCTTTCTTGACACTCTTTGCTTTCTTGACACTCTTTCTTGACACTCTGCTAGACACTCTTGCTGGACACTCTTGCTGGACACTCTTGACACGACACTCTTGCTCGACACTCTTTCTTGACACTCTTTGCTGGACACTCTTGACACGACACTCTTGCTTGACACTCTTTCTTGACACTCTTTGACAAGACAATCTTTCTTAACACTTTCTCTTGACACTCTTGCTGGACACTCTTGCTTGACACTCTGCTAGACACTCTTGCTGGACACTCTTGCTGGACGCTCTTTCTTGACACTCTTTGCTAGACAATCTTTCTTGACACTCTTTGCTGGACACTCTTTGCTAGACACTCTTGCTTGACACTCTTGCTTGGCACTCTTGCTGGGCACTCTTTGCTAGACACTCTTGCGTGACACTCTGCTAGACACTCTCGCTGGACACTATTTGCTAGACACTCTTGCTGGGCAGGACACTCTGCTAGACACTCTTGCTGGACACTCTTGAAATGACATTCTGCTAGACACTCTTGCTAGACACTCTTTCTTGACACTCTTTGCGAGACATTTTGCTAGAAAGTGTAACACAGACAAAGTCCTGCCAGGTATGTCACTTTCAGACGTCAAGTCTCCAAAACGAGCGTTTCGTACGAGACTTCCTCCAAAAGTCACACGTCAAGTCTCCAAAACGACCGTTTCGTACGAGACTTCCTCCAAAAGTCACACGTCATGGCTCCAAAACGAGCGTTTCGTACGAGACTTCCTCAAAAACTCAGATGTCAAAGTCTGCAAAACGAGCGTTTCGTACGAGACTTCCTCCCAAAGTCAAGCGGAAACACCCATCGGAGCACACCCATCGCGCAGCCCTGCCAAGCAGCTTCGCGATTCCAGCCCCTCCAAACAACACCCGCTCACACGCCAATCCCAATGTCACAGCGACATTCGCCTCTACCACAACTCACAACCTCACGATTCCCTGCGCCCGCCACGAATCTTTCCACGTCCGCACGTCTAACGCGCACAAAGTACTGCGCCTGCCACGAAATGTCACCTCCGTCACACATCGCAACCTCACGATTCCCTGCGCCTGCCACGAAAATCGCACTTCCACACCTCAAAACCCGCACAAAGTACTGCGCCTGCCACGAAAAGTGACAATGTCATCTCATGTGAGCTTCAACAAAATTTGCACCACACCACACGTTCGGAATGATTTCGGCCCATTCTGAGCACAATCCACCAAAATCACCACTTCAGCTGAGACTTGTCACGAAAATAGCCACACCCTGAAACGCAAACCCCAATGGCACGGCCACATCCAACACCCCAAAAACACGACTCTCCAAACGCTAATCCAATGGAATACCGACACAAACGTGTCACTTTCACGAAACCCTGCGCCTGTGCAGCGAAATGCATAACATCCCCACCCCCTTAACCATTGTTTTGAGGGGGGGCCTGAAAAAT